TATTATTAGAAGCTATTGCGTGGGAAAATTCCTGATGCAATGCCAGACTCGCGAATCATACAATTTTATCAATACGACAAATTTTATGACAAAAATAATCTTAGCAAAAATTTAATTTTTTTTACTCATATTTATCTGTTTTATTGGAAAGTAGACGCAGAGCTTTCCGCTCGCCGATTATATATTCAACTCGTACTCGTTGAGCATATAAAATAACAAAATATCATTGATTTTACGGAGCTATAAAAAAAAAGGCGGATTGTATAAGCATGCTTGTTATCGATTACCTAATGAAAAATACATGACGCAACCTTGGCGGCAATCATGTCAGATGAAATTCCTCCTACGCGTTTCTCTTAACAATACGCTCTGTGTTTCTGTGTATTTACAGTAATAAACTATACTTTATCGAACAATTAGCCCGACACGTGGACGACTCTTCTGCAAACGAGCCTAGGTGGCGTCGAATGCAGAGCATCTATCAAATTCGGCTTGCCGCAGATTTTTATTTTCCACGTAACAATAAAAAATATAATGTAATCTAAATGTGCGCATATATGCAAGAAATGTAAATACAAAGTTCTACGATGTGAAAATGCGGTACACGAGTCCAATGAAATATAGTTGTTTACGTTGACGACACGTTAAATGCTCTGTCTCGTAAATAAACCAAATGCTTAATTAAGTGGTTGAATTACGGACGAGGAATTGAAACATGTCTGATTTGTGCTTGACTTGAGTAAATTTGCTCATTATTCTACGAGCACACACATAATTAAGGACTGAAGGGAGGAGATCTGCTCTCGTTTAGCCTCGCGCTGGAATGGAGATGATAAAATAGTTTTCCCGTTAACACCCAAGCGATCGATTATCTTCACGGCATTGAAAACAATTGGGAAATATTGAAGGAAATATTCTTTTGTTCGAGGAATAAATCAATGCTAAATTTAGAAGAAGCAGAATCTTTATTTTAATTCATGAAATAGATGTTTGCAAGGAATGTTCGTATTTATTTTTTAATAAATTTTAATAATTTTACACAACACTTTGATCGAAACGAAGTACATTGTTGTTTAATACAAATACAATAAATTGCATATATAGTTTCGCTTTGTAGTACCTTCAAAATGAAAAGCTTGGCGCAATAACATGCTAAGTACGAGAAAGAGAGAGAGAGAGAGAGAGAGAGAGAGAGAGAGAGAGAAAAGTATGCGAGGCTCTTAATTTATTTTCATCTACATATCTGATTATGGTCCCCCAATGGAAGTCTTACGCTCTTTTACGTAACGATATGATAAGAATTAGATTTAGAAGCAGCAGGAAAGAAGAATATTGAATCTTATTAATAATAAAAAAGTTTTTTTTTTAATTTATTTTTTGTGTAAAAAATTTTATGGCTTAGCATGTTATTATAAATCAAGCTTTCCGTATTTCTTTTTTTTAATTTTTTAAGATAATAACACGATCTAATATATCTGTCTAAAAATAGGAGGAAACAAATAAGGGTTACACATTAAGCACTATTAATGTTAATTAGCATACGCAATTCATATGAAGAGAGTCGGCAACTGCGATAACAATAAATGCTTTCTTATTCGTGCCCAATAGTTTATTTTGCAAAATAAATTGACATATACAATAAGATAGCTTAGCAACTGGTAGAAATAAATATCTGTAAGAAATCTCCGCAAGTTGTGTTGTCTTCGCATTATATGTAATGAGCGCAGTAACTAGCATTATTTTCGATTTGTTAGTCGAAAAGAAGAGATGTTCAGTACGAAACTGCATTTTTTTTTCTTTGACGCAGCCCGCACGTTATAAAATATTAAAACAGTCTCCGACGTTGAAGCTTACACACGCTCTATCGTCTCAATTATTATATCTTTATCAATTTCTCTTATACATTAAAATCTTCGCATTAATTCTCTCATGCGCGACGTGAATTTTTGCAATCAACATTCTTTCAATATTTATAATCAAACAAAACATATTTTGACAGTCTTCTTTTAGCTGCAAAAATAATGCAAAACATTATACATTTTTTATTATAAGAGAAAATAATTTAAAGTTTTCAGTGCAAAATTATTCTACGAAAAAGTAAGCGATGAATGTTTGAGAAAACTGTTTTATATCCTTTAATTAGCGCACGAAAGAATTAATTTTTATAATCATTCGTGAATACGACATAGAAGGACGGACGCATGTCTTAGCGGGTCCAAATTTGTATTCATTAATCACATAAGAAAGGTTTCGTGGCCCTTCATGTCATCACCTGTTAGCACCTTCAGCACCTTACCCTCGAATAGCTTATAGATTCCCGTACTTTCACAAGAACAAACATGAACATACTTTATATTGTTCTGCCCTGCAGAAAGAATTATGCGTAAACCTCATAAAATTGATAAAATTGATATAACCATACGATTTCTATTAATCGTGAATAACTAACAAAGCTTTTATCAATAAATTTTTTATCAATATACATCAATCGTATTTTTCTTCTATACGATTTTTATGAAAAAAACAAATTTTTTTTGTAATAATTGTGTAAAAAAGGATTGAATAAAAAATTGTTAGATAATTTTAGACAAAATATAATTTAAAAATATACAAAACGGTCGTATTTATTAATTTAAAAAAATAAGAATTATTCTCATTTATTTAGATATGAAAGATATAGAATGTAAAATATAAAATTTTAAATATACAAGTCAAAACTATACTATATTAGAATAAATATACATTTCGTTTAAAATTTGTAGGAACAAACAATCATGTGGCATGATTTTGATCGTAGGAAAGCCATATTTTTACAGAACACGGCGAACTCTTAACATACATTTAACGGTAATGATAATCTTATATTATGAAGAGATAAAATATATATAACGCACAATTAAATTGATCACATCCCTAATATTTCCTCTCTCGCATTCCTTTTCAATCTTGCATTATGAATTTGGACGATTCCTACTTTCGCAATAATACGTCTCAAGCTTAAAAATCTATGACAATCTTAAATCATGCTCTATCTCGTTGCGGTATCTCATATCGCAGTAGAGGCTTTTAAATATTTGGATAAAACAAAAAGCTCCTTTCTAATGCTACGGTGTGATCACGTTCGAAGACTCGTCCTGTGAAATTGTATTTTAAACTAGTACATTAGTAAGAAATATCAATAATTAGTATCGGATGATAGAGATAAAGAATGATGTTTCTGATTTACAAAAAAATGAAGGCAATTGCATGCTAAGAATTTGTTTAAATACCAAAATGTCTACTACTATTTATTAGAGTCTTCTAAAATGCACCGATATTGCACTTCTGTAATTTTAACACCGCTAACACTGCCTAAATACTTCGAACATGATCCCGGTCGATCAAGTTATGTCGCATCAGAAGGACGAGTAAACACTAAACTTATGAAATTTCAAAATTTCAAACGTGTTGTGACCTATTTATATCCAATGTGTTATGAAACTTTGCACCGCTCGCGTAATTAGCGCGATGCTCAGACGATCAGGTATATCGAAAGAAATTTGTATTTTGATTTCCTTGTGGAGCAAGGTATAAATGCAATAGTAACAATAGAAGTGGTAGTTATTAGTGAAAATTAAAACAAAATATATATTTGACGAAAAAAACGTTCTAGGTACGCACGAGTTAAGGATATATAATTTCTCTTGAAAGAGCATCACAAAGCCAACATCCGATAACGCTAGTAATATTCAACGTAAGCATATAAAATATATGTGAAATATTAATAACATAATGTTTCCTTCGAAACATAGTTGTACACAGATAAATGTTCGTCGGCTCGCAATTTGTCTCGCGAGACGCCTTAAGAAACTATTTTGGCACACGAATCCACGGTGAGTTTTAAGCGTCAATTCGACATCCTAAAACGCCTATGAAGCTAATAAAAAATGTTTAACATTGTGTGCGCGCGTATATATATGTATACGTGTACATATTGTGTACGTGCTTTTACATTACATGAATCTCGTTATATATATACATTTGACGCGTATATGACATACTGACTTCATCACTAAATATGGATGTTTAGGAATGTAATGTTTCACATTCTACGAGACTTACAACTACTACGATGTATACTTAGGTAGTATCGTTATGATGCTTAAACTTGATCAATTAATCTTGAATCAGAAATATTAAGAAACTCGTAATATGCGAACCTAACTCTGAGCATATATAATTTAATTTATTAGCGCTCGCGGCACACACGCACGCACACACACTCACACACACTAGACAAGTTTTAAGAAAGCGTACAAGGAAGTCTTCTAAGTTATTATTTAAAAATGTTTCTCTTTAGAATCGTTAAAGTATCTTCAACTACTTTTGTGAAAACTTTTAACAATTAATTCAAAATATTTTGATTTAAATTATTTATTTCAGCATCAAGTGTTCAAATAAAAAAACGCTGACATGATCTTTGTAAGAAAAAAAAATTTTAATATGACTACGCAATCTAAACAGGAAATGAAAGAAGACCGAGCGTCGTATATATTTTCTAATATTGTTAATGTTGATTTTCGAAATGTATGACTACGTCACTATCATAAATCGAGCGATATCTATATGCGCTGCTATGTGAGATCGATTTAAAAGAACATTTTTCATTCGCAATGACTTTTGATTAGCTCATGATCGGCATACGTTACGCTGCTATGTTAACATTAATCTTTATCGCTTGTTTGTTTCGATAGCGATGAAGTTCCTTCATCGATGCAAACCAAATTTATGGTCCATATCAGAGTCAAATTTCTTAAATTAGCTTGACATACAAAAAAGCGACTTTCTGACTTCATAATTAGTAAACACTTTTGCACAATTGTCAAAATATACTAATTATTCATGAAAAAAAACAGACAGATTATTTTTATCAATCCCATGTATTTTTGAATAACGGTGCGAAGACGAACGAAATCTCTTTATGGCGATTGCGTCTCTCTCTTTTCTTTCTTTTTTTTTATTTATATGTTAAATGCTAATTTATGTCACGTTAAATCCGCCTCGTCGTATGGGATTTACATATTTAGGTACTTGTTTTAGCTATTCGTTCTCAAACTTGCGAAATCGTTATCATCCGCGCAAATAGAGAGCCGTGATCGATCATTGCGATTACCGATTCCATTACGTACATATACTCGCTATACCAAGTAATATAAGTCCTACAAATACACCATATTCGCTGCATTTCTTCAATAATCCCTGACTAGTATCTTTCGTTGCAATTAATCCCGAGGGCGTTGCATCATCCCGACGACGGTCGGCCGATCGATTCAAACGACGACGAGGGGCTGCCTTTCATCGTGACGCTCGCACATTAACTTTCTTTCTCCTCGATAGGACTCACCTCGTTTTGCAGCAGCTCGAATTTCGGACTCAGAGTCGGCAGCATGCTCCTGGTGTTAGTTTTGATTTGACTGTACTTGTTGTAGATGTCCAGCGATTTCTTGCGATCCATCTCGAGCGTTTCCTCGATCAGTCGCGGCGGAATGCTACCTGCGCGCTTGTGACTCGGCACGAAGACGCTGCCTTCCGGCTTGCGATTCGCAGTCGTCGTCGTTGTCGTTGTCGTCGTCGTCGTCGTTTTGTCTATCTTGTGCTCCGGCGTCAGCGTGCCGTTACCCAGTTTACGCTGCTGCTCCTGGAACGCGTCCTCCTGAACATCGTCCTTCAGTAGCGCGCCGGTTATCACGGGCTTGTGGCACTCCGTTTTATTAGCGAAATCGTTGCTCAGAGCCTTTTGCTCCATAATCTCCAGCTTGTTGGGTGTCGCGCCGTTCACTTGGAGATTCGGATTCGATCGCACGGCGTCCGGGTAACTGTCGATATCCAGCGAGTCCTCCCGTATCGATCCGCTCACGACGTCTTGCAGCGACGACACGTTTTTTGATTTACCAAAGAATTCCGGCTGGAAGCAGACAACTTTTGTGTTATAAAAATTCTTCGGCATCAATCTACATATATGCTAATAATTACGGAATTATTTAACATTAAAAATTGAAGCGTGAATTGATTCTTGATAAAAAAAACTTTTTCGATTTACCTACTTAATTTTAACCAAATTTTTCGCAATTAGACAGTTTGTTCGTAAAACAACAAACTTTATTATTTTCGCATTGATAAAATAGTGGATCTGTTTTTGCGCCAGAATTAATCTCTCCATATTTGCTTACACTTTTCTCCTCGTCCTCCTCGCTGGTCAAATTTCTGGAATCGTCCAACAGTGTTTTATCTATATCTGGCGATTTGTCGAATTCCACCCATTTAGATCGTCCGTCTAGTTTTCTCGACGGCGCATCGGATTCGTAACTACCGCCGTACATAGGATAACCGAGATGACCGGAGTCGTATTCCATCTGGTTACCGTAGCGATAACTCGGATTGGCCGAACCTTGACTGGATATCGAAAGATCCGACTGCGATAGACCGGTGTTGGTGCTTCCAAACAGTCGCGTATTTTCGAAACCTGCAAGGCGGACAAAAACAAAAGATATAGATCTCAAAGGCGCGCGTCGCCGCGTCATTAAGATCATTAAGACGATTACCTGAAGATCTATCGTCTGGTATTTCCTCTCTGTGCACCAGCGCCTGTTGATCGGTAACAGCGGCGGTTACGTCATCGGAGGATCCTTTGTTACCTTCCGTTTCTTCCTTGTCGTAATCCGGCTGCACTTCCACCACAAATGAACAACCGTTGTCCTTGTATCTCGACGCAGGCTTGCTGTCTTCCATCGTCACCTGTAGATAAATGTCGCCGTAGAGTGTTGCATGAGAATTATTAAAAAATATGATTGTCTGACATTAATTAACAGAAATATTTTTTTTTAATTAACTGTGAGAGTAAGATTCTTTGTGAAAGTACTAAGATTAAATAAAAAGTTACAGACATACGCGCAAGTAAGTCAGTAAATTTATCTAATGTGAAATAATTATTCAGTAATTATTATAATTATAAAATTTACCATTTTTTTAGTGTTTCTCTTAAATCCGAAACTATATCCGATTAAATTCAAAATCCATCTTTCTGACCAAATGTTTCAATTCTCTCACCGAAACGCGCGATGATCTACCCATCTCATTTTTTTTCGTCTTGTTTTCTTTTTTTTTTTAATTCGATATAATCCCGAATTATGGATCCGAATCGGCTCCACGCCTTTTCCTTGTTCTAAAGTTAGGGCGCTTTATACACGTACGTGCGAGAAGAATGACTTGAATGGGAGCGCGAGTAGAGCATTTAGAGAGATTCGGGAAATGAGGAGGCGCGCGAGACAGATAGAAGGCAAGAGGGAAAGAGAGGGGAACGTGTCGATCGGAGCGGGAAGGGGGGGGAGAGAACGGTGTAGGTGAAGGCAGCGGCGCAAGAAGAAAGATTTCGAGAATCTCCAAAGAGAACAAGCCTTTCTGTGAAGCTGACATGATGAGGCTGCAAGTAGGACGATAGGTGGGGGCGAAATTGCCTGGTAACCTCCGACCTTACAGGGTCGGCCAAGTTCGATAATTACGAATCTACTCTCCGCACTCAAAACGAGCCAGTCTCTGACCCGGTTATGCGAGTTTCGCCAACGAGTTTCGCTACGACGGCATGCGTCGCTGTTTCGAAATTAATATTAGTCGTCCGCGTTTCGAGGGAAATGCACAAAATTGTGTAACAATATTGTCGCATTTTGTTTCGGTGAGGTCGCACGTCGGAGAAATTTGTCTCGCGTAAATAATGTATGTACGTACCGCGCGTTCCTCGGTTTCTACGATGAGATGATTATTCTTGAGCGTAAGGGTGATGATGTTCCCATTCGCATTTTTGCTGGTGTGATTGCCGGAAGTGGCGAACTCCATTACGGCCGCCTCTGGTGCAACGTTCACCTCCTCCATCACCTCCGTTTCGCACATGTATCGGGGTACATCTAGGCCATTCACCAACTGAAATGCGCAAAAATTCGACTGCGTGATAAAAGCGTGAAATTCGTGCGAACGAAAATTTCATCGAATATTCCATCTGTATTGCGCACATAAACGCAGACTCGTAATAAACACGTTACAGTACGAGAGATCGTTTCTCACTAATTACCATCTACAAATACTCGCAGAGAACTGCAAGTTTCCGACAACAAGACACCACGTTCCGAGTCCTTTTTTTTCTTCTTTTTCTAACACAAATTAATTCTCGTAATTGAGATAAAAATCGGTGGCGTCGCAACTTCGAAAATATCGCGGAATGTCGCTTGGGCATGAATTTCGTTTTTTTTTTATTTCCTCGGCGACGCGGATGCTCCGCGGGATATGGGAGATTTAGTTACAGTCAATGCGCATACGTGGCTGTCCTAATTTACAAAACGCACAGGGGGGGGGAAGAAGAACGTCTCGTTTAGTTTTTTATCTATCACGCGTCGCGAAAAGCCATCTCGCATGCAAGTAGGTGTTCTCGCGTGTACGTTCACCTATACGCAGGCGGATGCATGCCGGTTACGTCGTTCTCCGAGTGCCTTGTGCCAAAGGGTACTGAACCTGACCCAAGGGGCATTGCTCTTGCGCTGCGCGTCTCTCCGTTCCTTTTCTGTTAGATCGCTACACACACCGGTCGTCATGTTAGCCAAAGCGAGCAGGTATCATTGCGAAGACTTGACTCGGTACTCGTCGCGGATGGCGGTCGAAAACACGCTGACCGAAATGCAAATTTATAATACGAGCGCGCGAGCGCGCGGTTATTATGTAGCCGCCGTAGACGCGCATCTTCTCGCCCTAAAACAGTCCTAAAGCAAAACCTACCTCTAATGTTCCGTGTATTCTCTCGCAAATTGCAGCACCGCAACATTAAACTGTCAGAAATGCACACGAATATCTCGAAACGGTTTTTGTTTTCTTTCCCCTGAAAAGTTCGATAATACAGCATCGTGATTCTTTAATTGAAGAAATCCTGTGATCTCAAAGATTTTAATATACGAATTGTTTTTACGATTGTATATCGATATTCCGTCGCTGGTATTACGAAAACGAAGATGTCGCATAGATTAGCGCCGGTGTCCTATTTATCCGGCCTTTCATGAAGCGAGTTGTCGAAATCACTCCGATCCGTTCGGAATCTAATGCGCATAAGAATACAACGGAACGTTCATGAAAGTATAATAAGCAAGTCCCAATTTGAATATTTCAGTCTTTACAAAAAAATATTAAATCATAAGTCTATATAAAATCACTGAGTCGCATTTACACGAGTCGATATCGCAAGCTGACGACAACTCCGCGGATTATACGTAGGAAAAGTGTAACACACGAGCATTAACCTAATTTAATTTGACACACCTATAATAATTTATTAACCATACAAGAGTAAAACACGATAAAGTTGTTCGAGATGTGCAATCTGCAATCAAACATTTCAAAGCATTTAATTACGAGCGTGTTAGAGAAAATCAATACTAATTTATTAATTAATATAAAATTAATTCGGTTTTCGATCAACTGTGAGAAATTAGTTCCCTCAAAACGTATCTCATGTAGATTGTGTGAAATTTGTGTTAATTATGCTGTAGACATTGAAACTGCCGCGCGTTATATCACTGTGCGTGTTCGTGGGCAGTCATCTAGCAGACTCTTCTAGCAGACACCCAAGTACACACTAAGCACTCAAGGACATTCCGCCGCTTTGCGTCTGGTTTTTCACTAACACCGTTAGAGGTTGCAGACGGTCACGACGAATGGAGGACATTTATAGGCGAACCTTCTAGCAACGAGCCGGATTACATGGTCATCTATACACGAGTGAAACTTTCCTTTCACTGCGTTACATTTGCCTAATTATCCTTTTTTTTTTTTAACGAGTACATAAATGTCGCATGTTTCAACCATGCCGTAAGAATTCGCAGATTAAACAATTATCTGCCGTTAATTCCACTGCACAAAATTCGTTGATTAGTGTACAAAAATATATATCTTGAACGCGAAAATTAGATCTGAGTTTAGATTAAATTTTCGAAATTCTGGTTTTTTTTTCATTATTACTTATTAAACAAAAAAAGTATAATAAGAACAGAAGGGAAGATAGATGGAGTGGACTAGAGCGTGTTAGTTGAAATGCCAAAAGTAGCGTGAATATTCGATTCGTGACGCATCTTTTGATGATACCGTTAGAGGTCCCAGACGGTCAAAATGATTCTAGCCTCTCTTCATGTCACAACAGACCTTGACTATACAAATGGGTAGTTACGGGTGGGATAGACGCGGCCTTGAGAGCTATTTCGTCATCTAAAGTAGTCTGGAGCGTAATTACATCATGGTGCGTCTTAATCAATTAAAAGCATTGAGCGGAGTCTCGTCAGCCAGCCTTTTTGTCAAGAAAAAAGATGTGATAAGTTTATTAAAAGAATATTAAAATAATGCGAAACGAAATAAAATCATAAAATTGAATAATACGTAATGATATAATCAGAGTATCTCGAAAAGTATTGCACAACCTTGTAGCACGTTTTTTTTCTCACAAATTTGTAGTCCGTTTTTTTCCACAAAGATAACAGTCATTTTCCATGACCGCTTTTGACTGTCAATATTATATCTGATATTATCAGGTTTCTCTTTTTAACAGCCTGTGAAAAATTTATCTTAGATCTGTAAAGTTTGCGATCAATAGAAATGAAATGTGAAAATCCAGCCAGTTGAAACGCACGATATTTCGTTATTAAAGATTGCCTTTTAGTACATTATTTATTCATAATTGCGTATCCTGTATATTATTTTTCAGCAATGTGAGAATTCTCTTTAATTTCCTTTTAATCGTTAAGATATTTTTCTAGTCGCCTCGAAGTAATTTATCTGCGGAAAACCAACTGGCAGCAATCGCAATGTTTGTTTTATCGAAAATGTGATGTGAGCTGCGAATAGAATTGTAGTTTTGAAATCGCATTCTCGCATGACGGCGGTCAGTAAAATAATATTGACATAGTGCTGGCAAATGAACAGAGACCTCCTTGTGGTTCGTAGTCGAGATAAGTTAATCTCTATCATAGTCTGGTACGCTTCGCGAACGTATAGCAAACAACGGGTCTTATCACTTTATACCAACTACGTCATTCGATAACTGCGCTTCGTCGTTTCGTGCTAAAAACCTAAATTTGCGGCTGTTATAGTGTGGCGACAAATGTAGTGATTTTTCTGAGTAAGAAACATTATAATTGATGATGAACAACGGTAGCTAATATTCCGAACACGGTATCATATTTACAGATTCTTATTAAATTGCCGTGCAAAGATTGCGAATTTATTTACCGAAGCAAAATATGAATTGTTGAGCGCGAAACAATTAATCAAACTTGTACTATCATTAAAAATCCTCCCATCTCATAAAATCGAGACCCGTCTCGAAGAATAGAAATTAATTTTGTCACGAGAAGAAAAATGTATAACCAAACGTTAAAGATAAGAGAAGATAGAGAGGAGGAAAAAGTGATAACGGGAGACAAGAGGAAAGGGACGAGAAGGAACAAAAATAATTGCCGGGAAGAAGAGGTCGAGCGAAGGGTGGCATATCGTGTACATCGGCAAATATTTTTCGCCAATTACATGTATCTCTCATGTTTTTTAAAATTACTACTAGGGAGATGACGTAAAATAACTTAGAAAATAAATATTCATTTGCATCACTCGACTAATACTGTGGTCAACATTTTTATCTACATTGGTCAAAACAATTTGACCACAATCAAAGATGGTGGAGAGGGAAGGGAGGACGAGAAGGACGAGGAAGATGAGGAAGAAAGGAAAATAGAAGAGAGAGAGAGAGAGAGAGAAAATGAGCGAAAAAGAGAGGTGGGGGGACGGAGGGAGGGCGACTGCCGCGAAATAATCGACTATCCGA